CTGAGACCAGAAAAATGGCCCAGTTGAGTCCAGCCTAAATGATTGACCATCCCAATTATGAGCTAATAAGGTTTAGGGTGGTTTATTATGCAGCATTAGCTAACTGATACATACACCCATGCAGTCAGGATGCCAGGATTCAAACGACAGGTTGGTTACTACTTGTTGTTACCTGGCAAACAGAAGGCACTGTATAAGGTATTGATTTGCTTTTCCCTTTATTTAAAGGGGGGCCTCTTGTTGGATAGGGACAAATTACATAGAAATGCATGTTGACATGCTTGGTGCTTAAACTCACACAGTCCCCACGCTCATAGCCGGCCATAGCCTAATCATCAGGGCCAAGGGCAAATTGCAAAATAAAAAGTTTGCCTTTATTCCCTCCACATCCAGACCTCCAGCCTTTGGAGGTCAAGAGGCTGTTGACAGATCTGAAGTCCGGGGTTTCCTCCTGAAGCCTGACGCTCTTGGTTCACTGTCTGACCTTTGGAAGGGTCAGGGAGCCCTGCCCAGAAGCAGGTGGGCAGCAGTGGTCCACCTGTGGACACCTCTTGCCTGCAGCCCTGGCTCTGTCACTGGGTACTGCCTCTCCCACCCTTGGGCGTGAGGAAAGAGATGGGCAGGATGAGGGTGTTCGCTCTCATCTGGCAGGAAAGGGGGTCCAGAACCTCGACTTCCCAGAGGTTAGACGCGCAAGTGCCCTCAGAGCTGCTCTTCAGTGCTGAAGCCACTGCCTACGTGGGCCTGCTGAGCTCTTTGCATGGGGCTGGTTGGAACTGAGATGTGCTAGAAGTTTAAATACAGAGTGACTTTACAAGATTTAGTACCCCAAATTTAAGAAGCATTTTCTGATGGTCTTCATTAATAATTTCATATTGCTCACATATATAAGTGATAATATTTTGGATACATCAGGTTAAGGTATTACCATCAATTTCACCTGTTTTCCTTTCATGATGCCACTAGACTACTGTAAATGACACATGCGGCTCAATTTTATTCCTATTGGACATTTCCGACTTAGAGGACTCCCTCCATTTTCAAATCTCATGCTGCCTCCTCAAGGGACCAGAGGCCATAAAGGTTATGAAATCTGAAATTTTAAAAGAATCGTTATTATATAATCTTCAATTTTACATATTACATATATTACTCATAAACTGATATAACCTTATGAGCAAAGTTAAATGCCAACGTCCAGGGCAGCCCCAGGTCCCAGCACAGGGAGTCAGCCCTGCCTGAAAAGGGCTGCAGACAATCATTCATTCAGGCTTCATTCAGCCTCACCTATGGTCGCATCTCCTGTCACTCAGGGGGCAAGGGGGCGGGACCTGGAGCCCTATCCAATCAGCGGCGCCATTGTCGAGCCTGTCCAATCAGGGGCGCAGCCGAAAAAGGGGGCGCACTTCTTGAGTTCTGCGCTGGCTTTTTCCTCTCCCAGTTGCGCTTCCCTGCTTGATCTGTGTTTCTGCTCTTTCTCCTTCATTCCGCAGCCTCCTTTGCCCTGTGACCTGCCAGGTACTGGAAGGTCCCTAGAGAGGATACCGGGACGCTCCTGAAGCCGCGAGATGGTGAGTCTGCCTAGCTTCCCGAGACGCGGCAGGGGTCGGCTGGAACCCGGGCCTCCCCTTGGCGGCTCCGGAGTCGGGGGGCCCGGAGTCTCCTCGGTCGCACGGTGCAGCTTGGCCGGCAGCTGGAACCCGGAGCGTCTCGTCTCGTCCCGTCCCTGCGCGGCGACCTTGGCCTTGCCCTGAGCCCTCTCTAGGCAGTTTCGCGCCGGCAGCCGCGTGTCTCCCGGCGTTGTGCGGTGATGACGGGAGGGGCCTTACGGGAGAACCCCGGCTCAGGGTTCGGGCGTGGGAGGAGCTGTGGTCCGTGGGGTCCGTAGTCCTTTCTTTTGTTAAAAATTAAACTGAGGTTTGGTTAAAACGTTAAATATTTTATTTGAGCAAATAACGACTCGTGAATCAGGAAGCCACAACCATGGATTGTGGTTTGGGGCCCACCGGAGGGGCTTGAACGAAAGGGTTTTATAAGGTGCATGAGGAGGCAAAGCCAATTCAGTAATTGATTGGCTACAGTTATGTAGTCCCCTTATTTGAACTGTCCAGGCGGAAATTCCCTGATTATGTAATCAAAGGTTAATCGGTGGTTTGTGGTTGGTTAAGATTGTTTTGTTTTCCTTTAAATTATTTCTAAGAAATGCATGAGTTACGTTTTGGTTTTCTTAGGTAGAAACCCAGGGCCCTACAGCCACTTCAGTCAATTGCCTCCCATTTAATTATTTTAACACTCCACAGGGGAACTGATTTTCCCTGCATTTTCCACATGTATGGCAAGCAGGGTCTCAAATCCACCACCCTGTTCTCCCAACCTAATTCTTCTAAGGGTTGCAGTAAAATTCTAAATTTTCACTTCCTTCCCCTGATTCTCAGCTGCCAGCTTCCCCTCTGCAATTCACAACGTTATCAACCATTTGCTCTTTATTGTAGATTTCAAGCAGATGCAGCCTGACCATTAGGGTCAAGGCCAAATTGCAAAAAAAGAAGTTTGCCTTTATTCTACTCCATCCACATCTAAACTTTGGAGGTCAAGGCTATGGACAGATCAGAAGATGTAGTTTCCTCCTCCTGGGGCTCCATATCCTTCATTCACTGATCTCTGGGAAGGAGGATGGTCAGCAGGTGGGCAGCAATAGTCTACCTGTAGACACTTTCACTTAGGCCTTGAAGGATGAGTCAGCATTTGCCGGACAGACTGAGATGTCAGGGGCAGCACGGAAAAGCACAGAGGTGGGAAGGGCAGGCTTCAGGTATTCTCAGGCTTCTGTAGTTTGGGGAATGTAGACCTCAGTGGAGGAGCTGGCAGGAGCTGCGGTTGCCATTAGGCTGGTGCCTGAGAGAACTGGCTTAAGAAGCTTGATTTTAGCTGGGCCTGGTGCCTCACGCCTGTGATCCCAGCACTTTGGTAGGCCTAGGCAGGCGGATCACCTGAGCTCAGGACCAGCCTGGCCAACATGACCCTGTCTCTACTAAAAATACAAAAATTAGCTAGGCGTGGTGGCACGCACCTATCCCAGCTACTTGGGAGGCTGAGACAGGAGAATCTCTTGAACCCAGGAGGCGGAGCTTTCAGTGAGCCGAGATTGCACCACTACACTCCAGCCTAGGCGACAGAGCAAGACTCCGTTTAAAAACCAAACAAACAAACAAAAAAAAGCAGCTTGGTTTTGTGAGCAGTGTGCTTCTTAGAAGGGTTCCAGGTGGCATTCTTGAAATAGGAGAAGGGAGATTGAGGTTGGGTGACTAGATAAGTGGTGGGGTCCTTCGCAGAGCAGAGATCAGTTTGTGGAGGAAGATGAATTTCATCCCTGCAGGATGGGCCTTCCATGATACTGAAGGGAGAGCCACATGTTAATGCCCGGGAGACAGCTGTCTCCTTGGTCTGAAAGGCCTGATCGAGGCCAGGATTGGCTATGAGAGCTGGGAAATGGGAGCTCCTTTGAAGTCATGGGAGAGGGTGAAGTGAGAATGAGGAGAGACTCGGGGGTCCAACACTCCCAGCTCAGGATTGGAGGAAGAGGATGGAGCTGGAGAGGGAGGGACGAGGGTATGGCATTGGTCAGGGAGGAGGAGAGGAAATGAGAAGTGGTCTGGGTGCTGCTGAGTGGATGGATGCACCTGGGCTGGAGAAGCCCCTGGGGCTTGGCCCTGAGGGTGGCCTTGGTGATGTGGGGCAAGTGGTTTGGACAGTGAGCTCAGGTGGAAGCCACACTGTGGTGGGCGGAGGAGCAGTCGAGGAGGGAGGCACGGGATGTGAAAGGGAGAAGGCAGCAGCCTGCAGGTGCGCTGAGGGTGAGCTGGGACTGTGGAGCCAAGGCTCGGGAGGGCACGTGGACACAGTTCCATACGACTTGTGCCCACCCAGGTGGGGTGAGGCAGACAGTCCTCCCTCACCAGCAATGCCCATCCGACTCGGTGCGTTTCTTGTCACCCCCAGAGCCACCATCACTCATGTTCTTGAATGGGAACTGCCTGGAAAGCCTGAAGAAGGAGGAGCCTGGAGGAGGAAGGAGGAGGCTGAGCCATCCCGGGAACATGGGCTGGATGAGGCCAAGCCAGGAGATGACACCACTGAATAGAAGTCACTATTCAGGATTTGGGCTTTTCTGTGGAGATCCCGGCCCCGAGATCGGACCCTTCTCCCTGCAGGTACCATGGAGGAGGAGAGCTGGGGGCCAGGGCTTGAGCCTGCTGGGGGAGGATGAGGCTGGAAAACCCAGCCTTGCCCTGGCTCTTCCTGGCCCTGTGCTGTAGGCAGGAAGTGGAGGGCCCTGGGCCCTGCCTGGGGTCACTCTGCTAACATAGTGGACTTGGGAATGGAGTACGGGTTCAGTTATTGCCTTATTGCTAGAGGACAGCTACCAGCTGGGCCTACCAGCCCTGTTTAGGGAGAGGAGTGGGAGCGGGTGGGTAGTGTCGGGTCCAGGGTGCCCCAGCCTCTTGCTCTGTGCCCTCAGGCAAGTCACCTCTCTCTGGGCCATGACTTTACCATCTGTCACCGGGGCCTGGGGGGTGTGGTATTGGGTGTTCTCCAAGGACAGAGCAAACCTGGAGGACTTGCAGGCTGGTAACTTGGTGGGGAGCCGGGCAAGGCCCTCTCATGTCCTCTCTGCTCACAGGCTTGGGCCCTGGAGCACCCCTTCAGAAAGGAAAAGGCCATTTGCCCTGGGGCACTCAGCCCTTGGCACTAGGCAAGGGCAAGAGCAAGCCTGTCATTCTTCCCTTTCTTCCAACTCCCACGCCTCTGCTCAGGGGTTGCTCTTAGGCTGCAGGAAGAGTCAGTGGGGCCAGGCTCTGTCCTGCACTTGGGCACACAGGTGCCAATGGGCAGGCCTGGAATGTAAAAGCCCAAAAGTGGGAAACTGAGTATTTCAGACATATATTCTCAGGACCCAGGTGTTTGGGGCTGGGGAAAGGGGTATGTCCCTGCTCCCTACCATGTGGCCTCTCACCAGGGTGGTCCAGGCCTTCTCCCTGGCGGTGTCCCTGCAGGAGATGGTGCTGGAGATCCACCGGGTGTTCATGGACCATGAATACCCATGTCCCCGCCTCACTTCTCACTGCACCCGGGTGGCAGCACGCTGGACCACCTCTCAGAGCTGCGCAGCATGGCGGGGCCGCAGGCGGGCTTGGTGCTCCACGTGGTGGAAGGTTGGCCTAGAAGCTGGGCTGCCTGCCCAGGGAGGGCCCCTGTGAACACGGCCAGGCAACACTTCACTGCCCCAGCTGGGGCCTGTGTGTCACAGATGAGCATGTGGAGGTGGGACTGGAGCACAGGTCTGCTTTTCAGGGCATCATACCTGCATCTCTAACTTCATGGCCTGGGGTGAAAAAACAGTTGAAATTCTGAAAAGAAAGCCAAGCAGTATGAAGCTAGGGCTTGGAATCGGCCCGATTAAATTCTGAAAAGATGAGCACTTAGTCTCCTAAAGAAACTAAAAAGTTTTACAGTCCTTGAGTGGGGAAGTCGGCTCCAAGCAGCACCATCGGCTGGTGTGGTGAGCCTGGCTTGGTTGCCAAATAAAAGCTTCCATAGACTCAAGTTCCCTGGGGAAGCACTCAGGTTCCCAGGGCCTGATTATTAAGAGCAACTGTGGAAAAGGTCTGTACCTCAAGGGGGCCCACAGTTCATTACAACCTCTCCCCTCCCCCAAAACAATGACCATTAAAATCCCATGAAACTCAGTGGGGGCGTTGAATTTGGCAGCCCTAGAAAGTTCTCAGGCCACCCCTTCGTGAAGGCTGCCCCAGGAGAGCTGGGCGAGGCTGCAGAAGCCCCACAGTGCCAAAAGCCCTGCCCACCCGAGACACTAGCACACAAAAAGCAGGAGGCTTTGTGGGCTCTCCAAGGCCTGTGTGTGCTTCAGAAGCACTGGCAGGAGGTGCTTTGCAAGCAAGGATTCTTGCCCTCAGCCAGCCAGGGTGTGTGTGTGTGTTTGTGTGTGTGTGTAGGTACGCGTGCGAACACATGTGTGTATTGAAACCAAATATAGCTTATGTGTCCATAGCGGAATTTGAAAATGGAAGCCTAAAGTTGAAAATTAAAATCATCCGTGAAGCTTCCTTGCCAACTATTTTCTGAGCTGGGTGGGTTGTTCTAGGATGCAAGGGCCCTGGGAGCACCTGCCCCTCTCCTGTTCCTGACAGAGCCCTGCACAGTGCACGAGGCCCGAGGTGACGAGTGCCACATCTGAGACTGCTCAGGAGCCTGGATCCAGCTGATGCAGCTCCTTGTCCTTCCTGAGCGTCTTCACTGACAGTGGCCTGGGAGATGCGGAGGCATTGGGGCCAGAGATTGGGCAGGGGGCAGAGGGGCAGGGAGCAAGGAGGTCAGAGGCTGACGAAGGGGGCTCGAGGCCAGGCCTTTCCACCTGGAGGAGCCTGGGCCTGAGGAACCCAAACCAGGGCCACAGTTAGAGGCAGCTGGCCCTGGGTGCTCGTGTGCCGACCACCAGCCTCGGGTCCCACAGACAGCAGGAGCAGATAGGCTTGGAGATGGACCCCACCGACTGCACACCACACAAGCGCATCCTGCTCGGAAACCTGGAACGGCCACTGTGTGCCCTGTAGCCCCAGAACAGTGACTAAAAGGTGGGACTCCAGGGAGGAGCAAGGAAGAGGGTCCCTGAGTGGGTGGAGGGCCACACACCAGGAGGCCTGGCCCATTCATGCTTGGCCATTCCTGCAGCCCCTGAAAGTGCTCGCCTTGAGCGGCTGGCCCCTGTCCCCTGGGAACTGCTAGAGACTCCAGGTCTCCCTCTAGGGAGCCGTGAGCCAGCTCTGGCGAGAGCAGCCCTGGGAGCGGCGCCCATGTGCTTGTGACTCGCCTTTCGGGGCAGCATCTCAGGGCCAGGAAAACTCGGAGCAGGTGAGGACCTTGATGAAGGAGGAGCCTGTGGCAGGGTCCTGAGACTGGTGGGCGGCCCCATCTGCCTTTCCCCTGCCTGCCATGGGGTCCAGTATGCCCGTTCGAGAGGGGCCACCTCATTCCAGGTGTGCAGCTGGATGGCCCCGGTGACGGAGCACACTGTGGACTGCACGTGTGGAGAGGCGCCTGCACCTCGAGGCTGGGCTGTGAGGGGCACATTCCTGCACAGGGGCCTGTGACACGGCCCGGTCCTCACTGGGAACCCCCTTCCTTCCTGGGTGCCAGGTGGGGTTCTCTGCACTTCCCTGAGGCTCTCCGCGGGTCTGTTCATTGGGAAGTCTGGGGCTGTCTCTGGGGAGAGAGGAGAAGGGACTTCCCAGGGCAGGTTGCAGTGCACAGGCTGAGCCCATGTCTCCCTCCCTGGTCCCTCTGCAGCCCCAGTACTGGAACATGGAGCTGCAGATGATGAGGGACCTGCCCTACAGGAACCAACCTGAGCAGCTGCTTCAAGAAAAAGCCATGTTTAAGGTTCCGAAGCCCCTGGTGAGTGAGTGACAGCCTCACAGCCTCAGGCCCACCTGTCTCCTGCTGGAATGTTTCTTGTGTACAGCAGGGACGTGAGGGAAACTGGCCTCCCCCATCTTGGTGAGCTGGGCCAGGTGGATGTAGCCTGAGGCTTTTGTGGGCGTGGCTTCTCGCCCTCCCAGCCTCGGTCCCTCCCAGGTACACAGCAACTTCGGAGTGGCAGCCACATGGGGCGTCGGTCAGGGAGGCATCGTCATGGCCATCAGCCCCAGTGAGGAGACCAAGCTGCAGATGTTCACGTGGAGCCGCGTCATCTTCAGCCTGGGCTTTGTTGTTAGTGGCCACTACAAGGACTTTGCTGGGGACGTGGCAGCCTCCATAGCGTTCACCAATGACCTGAACGGTTAGCACTGGCACAATGCAGTGGACATGGAGGGTCTGTACACGCTGAACACGGCAGAGGTGGATGACCGCGGCTACTGGGTCAGGTTCCAGTCCTCATCCCTGGCATCCTGGAGTGGGACCAGGAGCAGAGTGTCATCTGTGGCTCCACTGACTTTGCAAGACAATGGTGTGGCCCCCGTGTTGCCTGGATCTGCTGGAGCATGAGTTGACTGCTCAAGACCCTGCGCCACTGCACGCTCAACCACTGCGACGCGGAGGCGGAGCTCTTCTCGGTTGAGGGCAAGGGCATCACCGGCAACGACAGGTGCCACTATAGTCTCTACCTGCTGAGCCCACTGCCCCGACCTCAGCTCCCTGCCTGTGCCCCACAAGGAGCTGCCAGAGGAGTGCTCCCATGCCAGCTTCCCCTGCACTCATAGGCATAGGTTCTGTCGCCTGTGCCAGGAGCTGGTGGACGCCTTCGTGGAGCATAGTTGAGGAGCAGCCCTTTGAGGCTGGGGCTACAGCCAGCTGCACCCTGCTACAGGCAATCGGCAGCCCGGGTTGTTCTAGGGTTGGGTCGTTGAAGAGAGAAGCTCTGGACAGTGAAGAAGAGCTTGTTCTGGCCACACTCACTAGAGCCCCTTTCCCACCCCCCACCCACCTGCTATCAGGCTCCCAGATGCAGAATCTGGAGCTTTGTGTTGGTTGTAAGTTAGTGAGCCGTGAAACCAGCGACCCAGCTGAGCTGTGCTGTTCTCCTAAGGAGGGTTTGGAAGTTGCTGGGTGGGTTGTGAAGGTCACAGTCCCTGAGTGTTAGTGCTGCTGGTTTTTAGTGCTTAGGAGTTGACCATGTTAAATTTCCCACACCACAAGTAACTCTTTTCTAGAAGCCAGTGGCATTCCTGTCTCTGTTGAGAGTCCTGGTCTGAATGTGGACCCCTTCTCCTCCACCTCCATACTCTGGCTGTCTTCTTCCTGTCTGGGGAGATCTGGCAGCCACCACCTTGTTGCTTGGGTCTGTGAGAGCAAAGCTGAGTTCTGGTCGGGCTTGCAGCAGGAGAAGGAATCTGATGCCATCTATAAGGCCCAGATGGGCTGTGGCCGGGCCGGCGGGTTGAGATGCGCCTGTAGGTTGTGGGCAGCTAGTCCTTTCTTGCCTCTGCTCTCTCTCCTGTTTTTGAGTAAGAGCCACGAGAAGCAAAGCTCTGAGAACCCCAAGTGCCCGGCCCAGCAGGCTGTGGCCCAGCAGCGCACCGTGAATGGGAGATACCGTTGGGCTGCAGTGCCAGCATCCTGCCCCTCCAGGTATATTCCTGGGTGGAGCTGGGCCCCCACCCAGCCTGGGTAAGATGAGCCTCACTCACAGCTCATCCCCCCACGGCCCGTCAGTTCACAGCCCCCAGCATGGCCAGCGTCTTGGAGCAGCTCCAGGTCATCAGTGACATCCTCTTCATTCTTCTCAGCTGAGGCCCCTCCATGGCTCCCTACTTATAAGTTGGCCTGTAGTTTTTTAAGATATGTAATAGGCTGACATGGCTCAAAATTAAAAAGTGTAGCCAGTGATGAGAAGTTCTTTGTGAATCCTTCCAGAAATACTCCATGTGATCTTTTTCCCCCTCTTTTTTTTTCTTTGGAATTGTGGCATGCCATGGATGAAGGTTATTATTGTTTACTTCATTTAACAATGTATCTTGGTGATCTTGCATTTCAGTTCCTAAGGAGTGGCTTTATTCCTTCCCCGGCTGCCTCTGGTTCCAGTGCAAAGTGTGCCTTAGGAGCAGGCCCTAAGGACTCCCGCGGTGCTGTCACAAGCAGTGCTGCCTTTGGGAGCCCCTAACCTCCTGCCTTTTCTCCCCTCAGTGTGGGAAAGGGGTTTGGTCAGCCAGGGGTGTCAGCAACTCTGTCCCATGCCCACTGTCTACACCTAATCTGGTGGCAGGGAGGCCACAGAGTACAGCGACTGGAACTGGGTGTGAGGGTGAGAGGCAGCCGGGCCCCAGGCCAAGTCAAGTGCATGGAATCCTGACTGTCAGCAATCAGGGATCTTTCTGCTTTTGGGAGGGAAGTACTTGTTCCACGCGTCTCACTGAATATGGCACGGAGCTTGATCTGTCCCAAGTGGGAGTTTAACCAGCCTAGAGGGGAGCCCAGGGCCCTGGCCCAGTCTGACACCTACCTCCTCTCCCACCTTGTACTGCCCCAGAAGACTAGGAGAATCTGAAAGCAGAGGTGGTGCAGCACCACTAGTTCCAGGAGTCCAGAAAAACAGGGAAAGGGCATTCTGGGAGGTCGAGGTAGGTGGATCACTTGAGCTCAAGAGTTGGAGACCAGCCTAGGAAACATGACGAAACCCCATTTACAAAAAGCAAAAATTGGCCTGCTGTGGTGGCGCGACCTGTAGTCCCAGCTACTCAGTAGGCTGAGGTGGGGGGATTGCTTGGGCCTGAGAGGTCCAGGCTGCAGTGAGCCATGATTGTGCCACTGCACTCCAGCCTGGGTGATAGAATGAGATCCTGCCTCAAAAAAAACACAAAAAAAACAGAGCTAGGGCTGGGGACCCTATGGCCACTGAGTCTGAGCCAGCGGGGCCAGAGGAACTGAGCTCCCAGCCCTGTGGCTGCCAAGGATCCTTTTTCCTCGAGCTTGCAGGGATCGAGAGAGAGAGATAGTCAGGGACCCTGATGTTACAGATGCAGACTCCAGGAGAAGGGGGCATGCTCGCAGATTAGAGGAAGTGAGCCCCTCTTCCGTGTTCCACCCCCACCATCCTCCTGGGACCCCAGCCTGCATGCCCCCCTAAAAGATTCTTTTGCACTGATTCAGTGAATATACGATGCAAAGGCCTAATTGAAGACCTGTGAATGGCATGTACGGTCCTCAGTTCCCAGCTGTGGGGCCCCTCAGGCTCCCCATATTCCCCTCAGCCTCCTCATCTTACATCAGGGGTGTGGAGCATGTCCATGGCCACGAGTATTGATCTCTCCCTCCCAGCCTGTACATCGCCCTGAGGCAGTTCTGAGTGGATGACATGCAGATGAGATTGCTCAGCTCATTTGCATCGTTGATGTTATGGCTGCTGCTTTTACTGCCACAACTCCCAGGCCCAACCTGGCTTAATGTCTTAAGTTTTAAGCCAAAAAGGATGGGGAGCCAGAGCTTTGTGGCAGGGCTGGGGGTTGGGGTGCACTTTAGTTTTGTGGCAGGATGAAGGCTGCAGTGGTTTTATTAGTCATGATTGGCCTGGCCATAGCTCCAGGCTGAGAGGGACAGGTTTGTCAGTGGTGGTCCCCCAGATGTCCCTGTGCCCAGCCCTGGCCTGTCTGCCGTCAGGCCCAGCAGGCGGTGCTGCCACAGGCTCTGACTGGCCTCCCTACTCCCTGTACCCCAGATGGACAGAACCTTGGGATCTACAGTTGGAATGTATCATTCTCCCCATTTTAACCCGAGCTGTCTGACACAGGGAGGGTGGGGTTGGTAAGGAGCGTGGGGAACCAGGGTTGACATGGATCCTGGGGAAAGGTTACAGACACAGGAGGGCTTGTCACCTCTCTGTGGAGCCCCACTGCTTACCACACAGCACCTGCTGCAGAGACTAGCTCTGAGGGTGGCAGGGGACCCCACGGGCCATGGCTGCTGCCTCTCTGCCCCTGTCTGTGCCTGCTGTGGGAGCCTGGACTGGGGGAGGACATTGCTGCCCTGTGAGCCTGAGGGAGTCTGTCTGGCTGTGACCGCTATGTAGGGCTTTGCAGAGAGCTGCTTATGGATATGGTGTCACCAGACACCTTGTTTCAGAGGGAGTGGGCATGAGCTGGCAAGTGAAGCACTCCCACAGCTTCTCAGGAACTTTTTCTCATTTTTAAACCATCATGTCTTCATTTCACATCGGAATGAAGTGAGGTTTTGAAACCTGCTTCCCCAGCCTCTGGATTGTGAGGGCTGTTGTCCCGCAGGTTACCAGGAGAGGCATATGTATAAATTAGCTCAAATTCAAGGTTATGCTTATAATGTCATCTGAGTGGGAGGTAAGAGGGTGGAGTCACAGGCACTCAGCTGGGATTTGCCTGGCCCACTCACTAGACTCATGGGATTGTGGCACAGGTGAACATCCCCTGTCATTGGAGGAAAAAGTCTGGAGTGCAGGGCGGGTGGGGGATGGGTGCTAGGCTGTGGGGTCAGGCCCTGGGCACGGTGGACCTGTTAGGTCACTGAGCATCTGGGCACCTGCTCCTGTCCCTTCAGTTGAAGTGAGGTTGGCAGCACTCCCCAGAAGGCGTGCAGTGCTGGGAGAGTGGAGGAGGGTCTGACGTTTGCCATCCTGTGGTAGGTTTTAGAGCTCACTAGACGCTTGTGGAGAGCTAATGACATGGGAAGAAGGCAGCCCGCCTTGATGGACCGTAGGGATAGAGCCTGCGATGTGAGAAACGGGTGTGTGGAGGCGGCCTGTCTACAACATGGAAGTTTAAGGCTCATTGCAGTGGCACCATCTCAGCTCACTACAGCTGGTGGCTGATGCCAGGCCATCCCTCTCCAGAGCAGGGAGGCCCTCGGCCTCATGTATAATTGAATGCCTTTTGGGGCGCTTGGATCGTCCTTTATTTCTTGCAAATTCAGAGAAGAAAAAAAAAATTACAATCCTCATGTCCATTAGTTTCCCTGACCCCGAGATTTTAAGTGACAGCCAAGGGAAGCCTCCATTACCTTGGCCATTGAAGCCTCCTGCGTGCTCCCCAAAACCCCAGCAGTTCCCTCTGCAGTCCCACAGTTATGTCCTGAGCAGTGGGGTACCGTGCGATGAGAGGGGCTAAGGGATGGGATGAAGGTCTTTCTTGTGTTATTAGAACGGTTAAAAAGTTGTTTTAAAGGTGTCCAAATGCCCTCCTTCTTAAACCTAATTAGATAATAAGATGCCTTATACAAGCAAAACCAGGTACGGGAAAGCAAGTGCATTTCAAGTCCCAGCTCACCCCTTAAATTAGCTGTAATACTCTCAGCAGGCGGCCCCACCTCAATGCCTGTCTCCCATTCAAAAACAGAACTAATGAGGGGGCGAGGCCTGGAGCTTTACCCAATCAGTGGCGTTGGAGTGGAAATCGTCCAATCGGGAGCAGCCGGAGACCAGGGGCTGCTTCTGGGATTTGGCGGGGGCCTTTGTTGACTGCAGTGAGAGCTGGGTCACTTCACCAGGGTTCCGAGTCCTTCCACCTGGGAGGCCCAGGCAGCTTCGCGTTCTGAGAACAGACGGAACCTCTGTTGCTCTGTGACCTGCAGGCACTGGGAGCTCCGTAGCTAAGACGCCAGGACATCCCGGAAGCTGGGAAATGGTGAATGTGCCAGGTCGGGGGTCCCCAGAGGAGTGAGAGGGGCGGTCGGAAGCGGCGGGAACCCGCTTTGGGGGCACCCGGGCCTCCCCAAGGTCAGCTCCGTGGTGTGGGCCCCGGGTCCCCGCGGGCGCAACTCGGCCCTTGGTTTCCTCCGCCGCAAGATGGCGGCCGGGTCGGCAGCCGGGACCCCGTGCGTCCTGTCCGGTCCCGACGCCGCAGAGCGACCTGGCCCTGGCAGGAGCCGTCTTTGGGCAGCTCTGTGCTGCAGCCCCGCGTCTCCTCAGATTGTGCGGTGAAAACGTGAGGGTCTCAGGGGAAACCCCGGGTCGGTGTGTGATTCGTGTGTGGGAAGATACTGTGCCCCATGGTGTCCCAGTCTCCTTTTTCCTCTTACAAATTAAAGGGACTTACCCTTAAAGCGTGGAAGGGTTTATTTGGGCAAACAGCGATTGGTGAAATGGGAAGCCTGCCGCCGTGGTTTGTGGTTTAGGGTCCTCTGAAGCGGCGATTTCAAAATCCCAGGGCTTAGCTTGGAAATGCTGCTGGGGAAAAGAAACGGGCAATCTCTCTTCCACTATGGCTGTAGAAAACGAATACATTTCCACAGAAAGTGTGCTGGATTAATTGGTCAATTACAAACATTCATTAAAACGTCAGGGCCTCTCTTTTGCAGTGGAGGATTTGTGACAGTGGATATCTCTGTTCCATATTCTACTGCTAACTGGATGTCCGAGTTTAATGCCAGATTTTATGAGACAGAACTTGGCACCTCCTAGAAGTGTTCACAGATACTAAATTTTCTGCTGTTATGGAAATAATTAAATGACATGTTTCGTGCCCGAAAGAGGTATTGTGGCCTTACCTGTTGAAGTATAAAGTGTAAGTGCCTTACCGTTTCCTTCCTTTCTATAAAAACGGTGTTTGAGTGATTTATGCTGTTTTCCTGAAACCTGTTAGGTCACTGAACATCTAACTGGCTGGGCACCTGCCCCTGTCCCTTCACTTGAAGTAGGATTGGCAGCACTCCCCAGAAGGCGTGCAGTGCCAGGAGAGTGGAAGAAGGCCTGACGTTTGCTATCCTGGGGTAGGTTTTAGAGCTCGCTGGATGCTTGTGGAGAGCTGATGAGATGGGAAGAAGGCACCCCACCTTGATGGACCTGAGAGACAGAGCCTGCGAAGTGAGAAGCGGGCCTGTGGAATAACCCTGACAAGGCATAGAAGACTTCAGTCTTACTTGAGCCTGCAAAAGGAGGTCATTGAAGGCCCAGTTAGTTCTTCTTGGGGAGCGCCCCCTTCAGGTGACCCTGAGGTTTACAGCAGCCGTGGAGGGAGCCCTTTGTACTGGGAGAAGCTGCAGAGTTCTGGAAAGCAGGGGATTCACAGGCTGATGTGGTGGAGGTTGGGCTGGAAGGGAGACTGGGAAGCTCTTTCTGAGGGTGGAATTGTTAGTGTCCTGGAGCTGTTTCTTGACTTTGTCAAATAAAACATCTGGATATAGGTAAGAAGTTCCTTAATTCTAAAGGAGTATGGCAAGAGGAGGAAAGCACCAACTGTAAGATATTTGTGGATCTCACAGTTGAAGCAGAAAAGGCCTTTCTTTCATAGGGAGGAGCAAACATGATTAAAGGTGGGAGGGGAAGGGCACGACTCTGGGGCAAAATCAGATCCCTGATCAGAGAATGTTTCACCCTGAAGTCGGCCTGTTCTTGGGAGGGGCATAAAGAGGGGTTGAATGTTGGCTCAGGCTGTGGGTGGGACAAAGCTCAGGGACCTGGAGAAGGGGAGAAACTTCAGCAAGCTTGGTTAACACATATTTTGTTTTGATCACGGAAGACAAAACTCTTTATTTAATTGCTTATGAGGGGGGAAAAAAATGAAACAGGAGAGTCTGTGGCTTTGTGATACCTAAAACAGGGAACATCTACTAAGTCATAACGGGAAGAGGATTCTTTGCAGTAAGCTGCTCTTGCAGAACACAAAGAAAGGGGGATTTCTTTCATCACAGCTGCTTCCCAGGGTTAACTACCAACCCCATCTTTTCCCCACTCCTTTCTCTTGCCCTACACATCTCTTCCATTAGGCTGAGTTGTATGTTTTATAATAAACTGGCCAGTGCAATTACAGTCTTTGCTGAGTTCTGTGAGTCCTTGTATAAAATTAATGAACTTGAGTAGCGTATTATGGGAGGCCCTAACTTTCAGGCAGTAGCTCAGAAGTATAGATGGACCCTGGGGAATTGTGACTGACGTCTGTAGAGGGGGCAGTGTTGTGGCACTGAAGTCTGAACTTGTGGGGTCTGTGCTGCCTCTGGGTGGTGTCAGAACTGAGTTGTTGGACAACCAGTTGGTGTTGGAGAATTGGCTGGTGTTCAGCAAACTCCACACATTTATTGTCGGAAAAAAGATAGCACAGGGACCTGGGCTGGAGAGAGACTCTGGGTGTCTCCCGGAAGGGAGGCTCTATTCTCCTGCACACAGGGTGTCACCCTACACATTGTCCTGTTATTGCACATCTCCTCCCAGGGAGAGAGGCGACTGAGGATAGAAAGGGTAGAAGTTCTGAGAACAGACCCCGCCCCCACTGTGCTGCTACCATATAATTCCCACCCACTCTGAACACACCCACTAGGCACTGACGTGGCCACGCCCCTTTCAGGACAAGACTTGACCCTCAGGAATTGTGCCCGTAGCACCTTTGCTCCCAGAGTTTCCTGCCAAAATTCCCATACAAGTGCCCAAAGGACTCCTGGCTCATCCTTGTCCCCAGACCCTGAAACTGCAGCAGCAACCTAGTCCCTCCATCAACCTAGTCTTGTGGACCACCCAATCATAGTCTCATCTGCCTGCATGCACACAGGAATAAGTCAGAGCCCCGTCTAGGCCAGTATCTGTAGCACAAACCAGTCCTTCCACCAATTCTGCACTGCCCCCTACTCGAGAGTTCTTAGTAGCACCTTCCTTTCTGCCTTTTAACTTCCCCACAGACCCTGACAGGGTCTCACTCTGTCGCCCAGGCTGGAGTGCAGTGGCATGATCATGCAACCTTGACTTCCCTGGGTTCAGGTGATCCTCCCACCTCAGACTCCCAAATCGCTGGGACTAGAGGCGTGTGCCCCCTGACACCTGGCTAATTTTTGTAATTTTTGTAGAGACAGGGGAGAGTCTCACTATGTTGCCCAGGCTCGTCACAAACTCCTGGGCTCAAGTGATCCACCCGCCTCCCAAAGTGCTGGGATTACAGGTGTGAGCCACCATGCCTGATCCACAAACCCTTTTTTACGTGCACGCGGCGTGTCCAAGCCCAATCCTCAGGTGCCTGAATCCAGCGCCTGCTGGAATTCAGATGTCCATGAATTCAAGATTGTGGCCCTAGATCTTGCAGTTGTGAGAACAAGTACAAATTAAAAATATATGACTTAACCCTTCTTGAAAATAAGGGAAGACATGTTTCTCTCCTTCCTTTTCTTGAATCATTTACTTTAGAGAGTTTTATATGTAAATTTTTTTCTGCCTTTTGGAAGTATATCTAAATCATTGTAACAGCTAAACAGATCTTTTGTCTCTTGTCAATCTTTGTTGTTGTTGTTGTTTTTGGAGTCTTGCTGTGTCGACCAGGCTGGAGTGCAGTGGTGCCTCTTGGATTCAAGTGATTCTCCTGCCTAGCCTCCCAAGTAGCTGGGATTATAGGTGCCTGCCACCACGCAGGGCTAGTTTTTGTGTTTTTAGTAGAGATGGCGTTTCACCATGTTGTCCAGGCTGGTCTCAAACTCCTGACTTCAGGTGATCTGCCTGCCTCAGCCTCCCAAAGTGCTGGGATTACAGGCGTGAGCCACTGTGCCTGGCCGTCAGTCTTTTTGATTCGGGACATTCTTTCTCTAGGAACTGGGAATCATTGATTTGAAATATAGGTAGCAAAGAAGATCGAGCCATATCTCACAGTTTCTCTAGGAGAGCAGGCATCTGCCTTCAGGCCCCTGGCTCCAAGTTGCAAATCTACCTGTCACGAAGACATGAAGTTTATTTGTCCTTATTTAAGGAAAAATAAGGCCAATTAAAAAACACAGATGGCCTCCCAGTTCCCAGGTGAATTTAGGATGCACTCTATCTGACAAATGGTGCTGTCAGGTCTTCTATTGAGGACTAATGGTGAGTCATGAGTGACTGTTTTTCCAGTCTCTTAGCAGATTGCATGTAATGTCCTTCACATTTGGTCTGATTGTGTCATAAAACAGTTTTCTTTCTTTTCTACCATTGTGCATTGTTTTTCTGATGATTCTGTTTTTAATTGTATTTCCCAAACACTGAGACATGTAAGGTGCCGCAGGCCTCACTCTAGAGGCGACGTTCCCTCGAAGACTTCCCGTCACAACCCACAGTTGTGCAGCAAAGTGCCCATTGCCCCAAAAATCTGCAGGCAGAATGGTCTCTCTGCTTATTTGGAATCTTTAATCCCTTCTAGAACAGTTGGCCAGATTTCTACAGAAGTAAGTTCACAGGGCATCAGTTAGCCATTCCGGCTCTGTCATGCCCCTGGCATCTTCAGACCTGAAACTGATTTAGAGACCATGGGGACTGGAAACCAACCAGGCACATACACATACATGGAGTAGGCCTGAGAATCTCAACATTCCCTTCATCCTCTTGCCCAAATGCCCATGAATGTGCGGAGGGTGCATGCCACTTCCCTGCCCCTCCAACACCTAAATCTGCAGCCCCAAAAGTTGAACCCAGGTCCTGGGGTTCTCTAGGATGTGTGACAGCAGCCTTCCTGAGGGGCTGTCTCCTCTAGTTTTCCTCTCTTCACAGCAACACCCAAGAATGCAGAGCCAGGTTGATTCCGTCTGGGGTCTGCACGTAAAGGCTGGTCTCCACCTGGGATCCACAAGACAGGGCCAGACTTTGCACTGAGGATGTATAGAAAATCCAGGGGACAGTTTCTGCATTACGAGAGATTGACCTTGTAGACCTTGTAAAGCCCTACTTTTTGTGTGGGGTCCTTCAAGTTTTCCAGATCTTGTCCAGTGAGCTGCTGCAGTTCTGTGAGGGCCTTCTGGTCTGAGCAGAATATGGTGGCAGAATCTGTTAGTGTAAAGCAGCATCTTAGCGAAGGGAGGGCAGGGCCACCACTGTCCAGAGCCATGAATAAAACTACAGCTACCTGTGAGCTGCGTTACTGGACTAGGGTAATCTTGCCCTTTCTTGTACCCAAGAGTTAGCTGATCAGGTATAGGTAATATTATGCCTGGCTCCAGAATCTGTGGCTCCACTGGGGCAGTTCCACTTTGTATCCTGGCCCCACAGAGTCGGCCTGAGTCTGTCCTGCCCAAATCACTATTGGGGCCTGAGCACAAGATCACCAGGGACTCCCTCACCAGCACCTTGAGACATTTGGTGATGTCCTGTGCAGACTGAGGTCAGGCTGACAACAGGGTCTAATTTCTTTCCATCTCAGAGGGAAAGGAATGTATTATCCAGGATTTGTTCCTCCACTCTCAGAAGGAATCTGTTTATTTGGTATCCAAATGGGAGTTGCCCCAGTGTTCTACTATGTGGACGAAGAACAAAGAGGAGTTCTGGAGACTCATACTGATAGGTAAACCAATTGCTTCCATTTCATATGGCCATTAGATCAACACTTGTAGCAGCCATAGTCCCTACCATCCAGGAACTTTCAGTCTAGAGCAGGTGGATAATGGCCAAATTCAGCATCATGTGGTCCTGTGCAAGCACGGAGGTATATGGGGAACTTGGGCTTGATTTGGGACACTGCCCTTATGTTGACATTGTGAGTTCTGATGTCACCACCCAAAGTGCCATCCATGGACAGAAGAGTTGTTATTATTTCTATCGATTTTCTCTTGATTTGGTTTTTAACATAATTTCCCAGAAGGCCCTACATGTTTTGACTAAATTGCTTGTTAATGGATTTACAAAATAGTTAAGGATGAAACAAACAGTTAAAATCAGAAAAACTCTGGGAGTCAGGCTTAGGAAAGACAGGACTTACATCAGCAAGATAGAGATGGGAAGCCTAGGGCCTGCCCCGTGCCCCTTGCCTTGGTCTGCCCTAACCCTGCCCAAATCCACCCTCTTCTGAGCTTGGTTCAGGTCTGGCTCCACCTGGGAGCCTACCTTCACAGAACTGTTTGTTGGAGATCAGACTCCTGAGTGGTTGCTCTTGCTGGTTCTCCAGAGCCAGTGCTCACAATTTCCCCAAACCCAAAAGCAGTTAAATGGGAGCAAAGGACAATATGGGGGCCTGACTTTTTTTCTTCATTGAAACAGTGCTTCTAGAGACATCCCACCTGGCAACCTTTTTTCCATTCCTGCAGGTCCAGTAGTTGCTCCGCAAGTAGTAACAAAGTCAATGTAAAGACTACAGTGAGAAATCCTTATGAACTAAACTTCAGCCTTCTTTTCCGTATCCATCCCATCTGTCTATAGTTAGCTTTTGTAGTGACAGGGAAACAGAAGAAGAGAGAGAAAGGCTGGGCCATCATCTAAATCTTGCAGGGAATTATGGGATACTCAGGACTCACATCCCAGGGGTTTATGTGGCTTAACTCACACCATGTGATGTTGCTAGCACAGTGCATACTGTGAGCACATAGTACAAGCTCAGTAAACACTGCTTTCATGCATGTATCCATGCTGTTTTCCAAATGCTGACTTAGATGTTACCGTACTCTCCAGCCTCTGTAGACTTTAAATGGCTGGCAAAGGATGTGATTTTTCAGGACAGTGGTTGGTGGTCCTCGCTGTGAATGAAAAGTATTTGCGTTGTGATTCGAGTACTGGGTGTAAAGGACTCTGTGCTGTGCCCGCTTCCTCTAGCTGTGTGCTAATGATAATGGGTCTTAAGCCGATTCATGGAACTTTTCCAAACCTGCAGAATCGCAGTACTTAGCACAGGCCCCAGAATACCAAATGATGTGTATGCATATTGAAGCTTGAGAGGAATGCTTAGCTGAGTGGTTCTCAGCCCAGGCTTCTAAGTAGGGTCACATGGCCAGTTTGAAGAAGTATGGCCACCTGTATGTTCCTCCACAGATTTTATTATTATACTCGGATCATGATTTACTTTTTTCCCCCACTGATATCACAATAATGATTATGGGTCCATCTGTGCGTCAGCACTGATACCGGTTCATCTCATTACAGCTGATGCTAACTTCATTCCTCTGGTTCGGGTGCTCTCTGCCGGATTCCTTCACTAGTTATTTTTCTCTTTGTTGTTAATGAGTATCTAGGAGGGAGGATTTACTGAGTGATGCGTATAAACCATCTCGTTTAATCCAGAGACTCCCATTGCTTTTTAGTTTCCCTTTGCTTGTGGGTTGCTTTGGAGAGTGAAGGCTCTCACGTTTGTTGACTGTAAATACTGGTTTTTGAAACTGGAAGTTCTGAAACAAGCCTCACTTCTGTAGGTTTCCTTTTTAATTTACTAATTTCACAAGCATACACTCCTTTATTCTCTGTATTTTCAGAGAAAGATAACAACAATTAACATATAATTAATATATCTACTGTCTTAATACTCTAAAATATAACACAGCACTTAGAATAAATAAAACAAAAACTTGGGGGAAAAAAACTAGACTCAGAAACAGAAGCTCTTTATTTTAGTTTATATCATTGTATATATTAGTCTTCATAGTTTGTTAAAAAACAGAAAAAGGCATCATCCATAAAGAGTTTTATAGTTTTAACACAACTTAAAATATTTCTTAATTAAAAAATGCTCTGTCACTTTTCATGTATGTATAGTTACCATTTCTATGTGTGTGTGTGTGTATGACATAAACATCATTTGATTAGTTTTGTGTTGCTGCCTTCCTGTTTTCATCATCTTCTCAGTTGTGACACCTGCTCTGAACATTCTTTTATACTTATCTCTGCATATTGGCCTGTTATGTCCCTTTGAAATGAATTCTAAGTTAGATACTGGGGTAAAATAATAAATAAATATAAATAAAAAAATAAAGTAAGCTCTATTATATACTAGATATTTGGCAAAAATTTTTTTTTCAGGCTTGAGACAGGGGAAGCATTAGCAAAACATTTTTATTAAAGAGGAAGAATAGTATTATTTCTCACATAGATTATTTTTATGGTTTTATCAATACATGAAAAACTGCTAGGATGACATCTAGGAAATAGTAAATGTTCAAAAAGGATTCTACTATTCTTGCTATTATGTTATAACCTGTAAATTTCATAAAACTCTCAATTCCACATCATCCCTGCATTCTTCCCTCAGTGTTCTACCTCTCTGCTGTTCAGAAGTGTGGCCTCTAGACCTGAGGCATTGGCATCACTGATGAGCTTGTTAAAAATGCAGAAACGCAGCCCCAGCCCCAGCCCCAAATCTCCTGAATCAGAATCTGCATTTGAACCAGTTCTGCAGTTTATTGTTGAATACAATACAATTTGAGAAGTATGCCTCTAAGTCACCATGACTTTTCCACCTGAGAATTATACACAACTGATTGTGGATGATGTAAATATAGACTCAAAACTGTATATTCCTATGTTGATGCCTTAGTTTTTTGTTTGTTTTTGTTTTTTGAGACGGAATTTTGCTCTTGTTGCTCAGGCTGGAGTTCAGTGGCGCAATCTTGGCTCACTGCAACCTCCGCCTCCTGGTTCAAGCGATTCTCCTGCCTCGGGTTCCTGAGTAGCTGGGATTACAGGCTTGTGCCACCACGCCCAGCTAATGTTTTGTATTTTTAGTAGAGATAGGGTTTCATCATGTTGACCAGGCTAGTCTCGAACTTCAGGTGATCCACCCACCTCAGCATCCCAAAGTGCTGAGATTACAGGTATGAGCCACCGCACCTGGCCTTGATGCCTTAGTTTTATACTCTATATTCTATATAGGCATAATATCTACACTGGTTTTGTGGATCTTATATCATTCTCTTTCCACAGAGTTAGAGAATACATTAGAAAATATTATTATGTTTGAAAGTGTCTTATTGAATATTTCAGGTCACTCATATAAATCAGAGTCAGTTTTCTTAGCTCTCTTATTTCATCTTGGTTTGTCAAATGATGAACTCTGCCCATGGCCACATGGTCAATGTGCTATTTATTTTTATTTCAGGGACTGTTGACATTCAGGGATGTTGCCATAGAATTCTCTCAGGAGGAGTGGGAACACCTGGACTCAGATCAGAAGCTTTTATATGGGGATGTGATGTTAGAGAACTACAGAAACCTGGTCTCTCTGGGTGAGGATAACTTGCCTTTGGAATATCTAACATCTAATAACTAAGGATTTTATTTCTGTCCTTTGTAGAATGTCACTTGGGAGCTTATGCTTTATATGAATGAATTCAGGTTCCTGCTTCCAGGAAAAAAAAAATTGTGGGTTTGTTATAGAAAAGACTTCCTAATGTTTGATCTTGACATTTGCCTTCTTTCTTAAGATGATGTCGAAGCTTCACTGTAGTTTAGTGGTGATTCTAGAAATGGAGTGACATAAACTATGATTGCCCACACTTTAAAATCCAATTCCTTCTCCTTATTTTTGATTTAGTCATACTTGGAAGTGAAGCTCAGGATTCCTTTGTTTAAAATGCTTCCTAAATATTGTAAAGAAGCTGACAGGAAACAGTGTTTGGGGAAGTAATTTTCTAGGATCCTCTATAATGTTCCCTCTTTACTGAGTATCCTACTGAGCTGGCAATTAAAGAACTCCCAGCAAGAGTCATGTGACTTTTTCTAATAAAACAGGTCTCGCTGTCTCTAAGCCGGACCTGATCACCTTTTTGGAGCAAAGGAAAGAGCCCTGGAATGTGAAGAGTGAGGAGACAGTAGCCATCCAGCCAGGTAGGTGGGAGCAGATGAAGTAGATGACATGAGTGAGAGGTCCAGCGGTCAAGAAAGAACCAGACCTTGGAGTGTGGATTGGGAAGTTCTCCAATGGAAATGATTTTTGAGACACCTGGGTTTATTTCTTTCTCTTGCTGTCACAGAGGGACATCTTCTGTCTCATGTTCTTAAATTATCTGATGATTCTCCTTCCCCTTCTGTGATCCACCATCATATTCACAGTGACAGCCAAAGTGCTCCCCTTGGCCTATGAGGGCCTGTGTGATCTGACTGCCCTTGCATTGATTTGGGGGCTCTGGGAAAGTCTGGGCATGTTTCTACCTCTATGTGGAACCCCTTTTAAAGTTCTGGTTTTGCGTCATGTCAGAAATGTGTGAGATGAGTGATGGACAGTAGGATTTTTTTCAAAAGTCCCAGGAATTCTGTGGATAGATGCCACATATTTTCTGGTATATTAATTTCTAATCCTATGGTGGTTTCCAAGATGATCCTACAAAAATTGAGACTCAGTAATTCATCACAGTGCAAAACATCTTCCTAAATATAAAAAAAAATCTGATCCTGTATTTCACTTCAACTTTTCATCTTTCCTAGTCTAAACTAAGATTAGAAATATAATATCTGTATGCACAAATTCCACAAATTTAAAATCATTTAATATAATACTATGTAGAATTCTTAAGTAAATAAATGTCTATGGGGAGCTGAGAACATTGTTCAGTATATAGTAAACTTTCAACTCTTACCTTATATATTCATAACATTTTATAATTTTGTCTGGTTAAGTGGGAAGCTTAATGAGAATGTGTTCTTTATGTTTGTTTTCTTTCTTTTCCTTTTCTTTTTTCTTTTCCTTCCTTCTTTCATGTGGATTTTTTCCCCACACTTGTAAATTATATATATTTGAGAGGTGTATCCTGATCATTTGATTTTATCTATGTATACAGTGTGTATTGATTAATACAATGAAATTAATTAACATATTAATCATCTCACAGTTGCCAGGTTTTTTGTGGAGAGAACATTAAAGATCTACTGTGTTAGCAAATCTTAAATATATATGAGTATTGTAAACTATATTCACAATGCTGTACATTAGATCCCCAGAATTTATCTTTTAAATGAAAGTTTGTACTCTTTGACCAGTATCTCCCCAGTTTTACCACCTGTCAGCTGTTGGGACCCATTCTATACTTTACTTCTATGAGCTCAACTTTTTTTAGATTCCACAAATAACTGATATTATACAGTATTTGTATTTCTCTTACTCAGTTACCATAGTGTCTACCTGGTTCATTCATCCATGTTGTCAGAAATGGCAGGATTACCTTCTTCATTATGCTGAATAATATTCCACTATATATTGTGAATAATCAGCTATGAACATAGGGGTGCACATATCTCTTTAACTGATTTTATTTTATTTATTTATTTATTTATTTATTTATTTTTGAGATGGAGTCTCACTTTGTTGCCCAGGCTGGAGTGCAGTGGTGCCATCTTGGCTCACTACAACCTCCACTTCCCAGGTTGAAGCGATTTTGCTGCCTCAGCCGCCCGAGTAGCTGGGATTACCTGCTTGTGCCACCCCGCCTGGCTAATTTTTTTGTATTTTTAGTAGAGACGAGGTTTCGCCATGTTGGCCAGTTTGGTCTTGAATTCCTGGCCTCAAGTGATCTGCCTGCCTCGGCCTCCCAAAGTGCTGTGATTACAGGTGTGAACCACTGCTCCTGCCAGATTGTATTTCTTTTAGGTATATACTTAGAAGTAGGATTAGAGGTTCATATGGTACTTCTATTTTTAATTTTTTGAGGAGCCTCCATGCTTTTTCCCATAATGGCTGGATCAATTTACATTTCCACCAACGGTGTACAACGTTTTCTTTTCTCTACACTGTCACCATTTGTGGTCTCTTTTCTCTTTGATAATAGGTATTCTAACAGTATGAGGTGATATTTCATGATTTGATATCTCATTGTGGTATCTCTGTAAATGTGAGGTGATGGCTCATTGAGGTTTGATGTGCATTTCCCTGATGATTAATTATGTTGAGCACCTTTTCTTAAACCTGTTTACTACTTTTATGTCATCCCTGGAAAAATTTCTAGTCAGGTCCTTTTAAGTCAGATTTACTTTTACTGGCAATTGAGTTGTGTGAGATTCTTACATATTTTGGATATGAAACTCTTATCAGATATATTTTCTCCTAGTCCTTAGGTCAGTCCTTAGGTTGCCTTTTCCTGTTGTTCTTTGTTTCCTTTGCTGTGCAGACACTTTTTAGTTTGATGTAGTCCCACTTGTTTTTGTTTTTTGATTTTGTTGGTTGTGCTTTTTTGGTGTGAAATCTAAAAATTCAGTACCAAGGCTGATGTCGAAAAGTTTGTTCCCTGTGTTTCTTCTAAAAGTTACACAATTTCTGGTTTTACATTTAAGTGTTAATTCTTTTTGAGTTCATTTTTGTATATGGTATAAATGTTCAATTTCGTCCTTTTGCTCATAAATATCCACCTTTTCCAGTATAATTTATTGAAAAGACCATACTTTTCCCTTTGTGTATCTTGGTGCCCTTGTCAAAGATTGCTAACTGTATACACATGGGGTTATTTTTAGTTTCCTTGTTCTGTTCCATTGGTCTATGTGTCTTTTTAGGTCAATATAATACTCACTATTGGTATAGCTTTGTAATAGCTTGGAATGAAGACGTGTGATGCCTTTACCTTCATTCTTATTTCTTATGATTGTGTTGGCTATTTGGGGTCATTTGTGGTTTTGTAGAAATTTGAAGGCCAGATGTGGTGGCTCACACCTGTAATCCCAGCACTTCGGGAGACCGAAGCAGGTGGATCACTTGAGGCCAGGAGTTTAAGACCAGCCTGGCCAACATGGTGAAACCCTGTCTCTACTAAAATTACAAAAATTAGCCAGGTGTGGTGGCGGATACCTGTAGTCTCAGCTGTTGAGGAGGCTGAGGCAAGAGAATTGCTTGAACCCAGGAGGTGGAGGTTGCAGTGAGCCAAGAGCACGCCACTGCACTCCAGCCTGAGCAACAGCGAGACTCTGTCTCAAAAAATATATATAAAATAAAATAAATTTTAGAATTTATTTTTATTTCTGTGAAAACTGACATTGGAATTTTAATAGGGATTACTTTGTATCTGTATATCACTTTGTGTAGTGTGGACATTTTATCAGTATTAATTTTTCCAGTCCGTGAACAAGGGCTGTCTTTCCATTTATTTGTGTCTTTTTCAATTACATTCATCAGTGTCTTACGGATTTTAATAAGCAGATCTTTTACCTCCTTTATTAAATGGAGTCATAATAATTTTATACTTTTTGATGCTATTATAAATTGGATTGTTTGCTTAACTTTTTTTCTCAGATCGTTTATCGTTAGTATATAGAAATGCAACTGATTTTTGTATGTTAATTTTGTGACCTCAGCTTTACTGAATGAGTTTATTAGCTCTAACTCTTTTTGTATACCCTTCAGGATTTTCTGTATATAAAATCACCTAATCTGCAAGCAGAGAGAATTATAATTCTTTGTTGCTGATGTGAGTGCCTTTTATTTCTTTTTCTTACGTAATTGCTCTTGTTGCAGGGCAGGTGAGCCCCCAGATTGGGGCTTATCCTGGGAAGGTTCATAGCTTCACTTAGGAAGAATTCAAATGCAAGGTAGTGGTAGAAGAAAACAGCTTTATTGAGCTGGCAGTGTTGCAGCTCTATGACTGTTCCTGTGGAGTGAGGCTTCCCTGTAGGCAGTGTGCTGAGAGGAGCAGTTCTGCAGTCATGTACTTATATACCCACTTTTCATTACATGCAAACTAAGGGGCAGTGTTTTTTCCCTTCAATTTTTTGGAAGAATTTGAGAAGGATGGACATTAATTCATCTTTAAATGTGTGATGCCGTGCACCCATGAAGTCATTTGGTCATAGGCTTTTTCTCACTGGATTTTTTATAACTGCTTCAATCTCCTTTCTTATTATTGGTCTGTTCAGTATTTCTGTTTCTTTGTGATTTAATCTTGGTGAGTCATTCATTACTAAGAATCTATTTCTTCTGAGTTATCCAATTTGTTGTCATATGATTGTTCATAGTAGTCTCTTATTATTCTTTGTATTTGTGTGTTGTCAATTGTCATGACTCATTATGTATTTATTTATTTATTTGAGACAGGGTCACACTTGGATGCCCAGGCCAAAGTGCAGTGGCATGATCATGACTCACTGCAGCCTCATCCTCCCAGGCTCAGGTGATTCTCCCATCTCCCAAGTAGCTGGGACTATCGGTGCATACCACCATGCTCAGCTAATTTTTGTACTTTTTGGAGAGAGGGGTTTCGCCATGTTGCCAAGGCTGGTCTCCAACTCCTGGGCTCCCAAAGCGCTGGGATTACAAGCATGAGCAAGTGCACACAGCCCATTTGTAATTTTTTGAGTCCTCTCTCTTTTTGTTCCTTTGTTTAATCTGGCCAAAAGTTTCTCAATTTTGTTTTCTTTGAAAAACTCAACTCAGTTTCTTTGATGTTTTCTATTGTCTTTCTAGTCTTTATTTAGTCTCTTTTTGTTCTAATTCTTATTATTTCCATAATTTTGCTAACATTGGGATTGGGATTATTTTGTTCTTGTTCAAGTTTCTTGAGGAATTGAGTTAGATTGCTTATTCAACATCTTTTTTGTTCTTTTTTTCTTTTTTTTCTTTTTTAAGACGGAGTCTCACTCTGTCACCCAGGCTGGAGTGCAGTGGTGCGATCTTGGCTCACTGCAAGCTCTGCCTCCCAGGTTCACGCCATTCTCCTGCCTTAGCCTCCCGAGTAGCTGGGACTACAGGTGCTCACTACCACGCCCGGCTAATTTTTTTGTATTTTTAGTAGAGATGGGGTTTCACCGTGTTAGCCAGGATGGTCTCGATCTCCTGACCTTGTGATCCACCCGCCTCGGCCTCCCAAAATGTTGGGATTACAGGCGTGAGCCACGGTGCCCGGCCTTTTTTT